CCTGTTTCTGTAAGAGCTACGTCTTTCCAGGGCATTGCACTCATCTATCTTTGTTGGTGGTGGAAAGTCGCTTCTCGAAGCATCTCAATTTATAGAAATAAGGTGGGCTCCATCTGAGCCAAAAGTCACTTTTTAAAATATCCAGCAATTCGACTTTGAAATCAAACTCTTGAGCCACTAGTCAGCATTCTCGGGATGACGGGGGTGTATAGTAATATGCGGATACAGGGACAGGTAAATGAATAAAGCAATCACCCAATTAGAGGAAGGCAAAAGATATTGGGTTGTTAACAAGACGTAGCGCAAGAAACTATCGTCTATCAAGTTCAAAATACTCCTTAGGTTCTGCCTTCTCCTCGTCTGATATAGGAACGCCGGCAAGTAACATATTCACATGGCAGGAGCGGGCCTTCATTGAGTGGCTTGCTGAAGCCGCATGACATGGATGCGGTGCTGAGCTGCAACGTTTTCTTAACGGCCCAGGGATCCCACTCAGGTGGTGCATCCTCGGGGTGGAGGTTGAAGCAGCGAGCTTGGCCGTGAGGGATCCAGTGGTTTTGGAGGTGGCAGTTGCTGCACCAGTGGCCTCGTGGCAGTGGAAACCGCAGTTGCTTCATCGACGAGCTTGAGAGATTATCTCACGGGGAAAATTTATGGGTCTCAAGAGTGTGCTAGGCTGGGATTGACGGGCGATTGGATTGACCAGTGACTGCTGGATTGACGTCCGACTGGCCGACATTGGATTGTTTACCTGGAGGGAGACCTTGAGGGAAATAAACCAGCAATATAATGTAACAGCCGGCATAGGTTGGAAAGTGTACTGGTTTGCCTGCCACAGAACCTGTTAAGGTTTGTACCTACGGGGTAGACACCCCTACAACGACAGTCATCAAAATAACTACGCAGCATACGCTGCAGCGTCCCTTTCCGTCGATAACGCATCTGGATGAGGCTATTGCGCTCGCTCCATGACTTTTTGGCCCCCTTCGAGCTTGATGGCTGCATCTTATGTCGCTGGAACACAAAAGAAAATAAAGGCTCTGAGACTTGACTGTTCTCACATACTGTATCCCTATGAGAAGAGCTTTCATTTTATAGCTACGGGCGAGGGTCCAGAAAAAAGGTGGCCTTTGAACCAAAGGAGCGTTTCAAAACGACACTTCTGTCAAAAGGTTATTTCGAGCGATCGGTCGTTTTGTTGCGGCGCTTGCAACGCCAGGCCACGATTTCAGATTGCAGGCCACGGTTTTGTGATCCAAAATTGTGGCTCTCTCATGTCACTGGTCTGAAACAACTGATGGCTGTAGGGTTGCATGCCCAACTTCTGTTACTGTGCATAAGGGAATGGTAAACCGAGAGAATACTAGACCTAGAGAACCCTAGAAAATGCTTGACCGAGAGACTGCTTGACCGGGAGAATGCTTGATCGGGAGAATGCTTGACCGGGAGAATGCTTGACCGGGAGAATGCTAGACCCAGAAAATGCTTGATTTAGGGATATGTTGAATAAAGAAGAATCTCTTTTTGTTTGGTATATTGGGAGTGCGAACATTCCACGGATTTTCTATTTTCCGTTTGCGTTATTGGGCCTTCAGGATTTTGTTCCGTATGTACGTATTTGGCATGAATTGTTAAAATGAGCAAGCTTGCAGTTGTTGCATTTACAGCCTGGACATAGTAGAAAATTAAAGACAGAATATTTTTCCACGTATCATTCCACCATTTGGCTCTTGCTCTCGACTTTACCCCACTTAATGGTCACGAGGCGCCAAGAGTGTATGTGATAAGAGCTTGCCCCAAAAAACCGCGCAGTCAGCACCCAGGCGTGTAGAGCATTTACATAAGCAGCGGTGGCTCCGGAATCTCTATACTGATCGCGGATGCAGGGTGATTGTGTCGATGAGGTTGTCTCTGGTCGCGTCGGGGTATTGAGCCGGTCTGCGGCATTCCACTATTACCCAAGAGAGGTAACTACCCAATAAAACTAATCTGAAAGAAAAAAAAAAAGCTGACATCGCCGACATGAAGATATTCAACAAATCTGACACAACAAACACACAAAATCATGGACAGATATTGGCCTTCTTCAAGTACATTTATACCTGTTGGAATACAGAGAAACTAGCTCCGCATACTCACAGCTTCGTACCTTTTCAGTACCCTAACCACGAATGCGAAAAGAAGGCGGCGGAACGTCATGCCCTTGGTCGAGCCAGATTCATCAAAGTAAGTGCCTCTCACCGCCCCGCCTATAGTAGATTGTTCATGAAGGTAATTGAAAATAAACATAGCATTCCAGTCAAACACCGCAACACTGGCGCACTGCTCCGAGTATTTCCCAGCTTGCTTTGAGAGCCAAACAGCATTCTCCTCAAGCAGCGTAAAATACGGCTCTCTACTGGCGGCCTTGCTCCTTTGTATCTCTAAGTTCTGCTCGGTGGCTTCAGCAGGCGCAAAGTCATCTCGACGTATAATGTGCGTATTTTTGACCTCAAGAACAGCAAGAATCTCCAGCAACGTTCCCTGGTCGGAATAAAGGGACCACTGCACGTCGAAACGACTTTTAGGTCCGCCGTATGACTCAGTTCCCCAGATAAGTTTGGTCCCGGGCCGGGAGTATCTCCTGGAGAGCTATATTCACAGGATGGATCAATTGAAGTATAGAAATCCGCAAAACGTCGGCCTCTGTGTCCAAACGATGCGTTTTTCCAGTATGGGCAGGCTAGCTTGGAGTGGACTGAAGGGTGTCACAGGGGGGAAATATCTTTCTGCGATCGTCTGGAAAACCGAAGCATCTTCTTTGATGAAGACAGGTATTGCATCGATGTCAACGGTGGATTGAACATTGGATTTGAATTCTCGATAGGAGCCCTTGAAGCCAAATTCGATCTCAGGTGCTCTTGGCAATTTGCAGTCGAAAGACTGCGAGATTGTTGGGGCCATGGTTGTTATGAAATTGAGCAATGAGTATTGGCACAGTTGGAACATAGATAGCTTTGCGTTTCTTGATTTATCTTATAGGTGTTAAAGGTTTGCCTGAAAATTGAAAAACGATAGTGCAAAGGGTTTGCTCAAATATTGGTAGTGGGAAGCGCTTACAGACAGCACGGGATTGGTGTATATTCCATTCCATGCCGCAGTAACATGCAACGCAAGCCAGTGTTCAATCAGCATGGCTGAAGTGATCATCACAATTAACAGCGCTTACCAGTCCAAAATTAGGTCTCCTCTCTTTGCGCCGATGAAAAGAGTATCGGGGCGCATCCGGAAAATCGGAAAGTCCGGAAACCATGTGAGTGACGCGAGTCCACCAATTATATAAGAACCACCTCCCGTTATCCACTGCCCGTCCACACCTATGCGCATATT